ATCCTAATGTAGATGGTTCACTTTTAACTGGGATGGAGTAAGAAATTAATAAATGTGCTCGTAAGTTGATCCGGACACCCTTAACTATTGAACAAAAAAAATAAATGATTAATTATTTTTTACCCACATTCGATTTCAGTTAGAAATACTTTACCCACTTGATGTTTAAAATTATATACATTACTCTTTTATAATTATGTACCAAAGTGTCCCAAGTCATGGGTATTCTATGCGATGCTGGGCTGTCCTTCATTGTTATCAATAAATATACAATGCATGTAATTTTTTATTTTATTTAATTTTTTCAGCATTTAAGTTGAAATGTTAATTCAAATTCAACTTATAAAACTCTTAAATTTGAGTTTAATCCAGGTCTATATGTTTCCAGTTAAATATAAGGTAATGTCACTATTGACCGGCACCTTTGTCAATTAAACTGCTATAACTAAGCTGTATTGCATTTTGTTCTGTAGCAAACAAGCATATTAAAGGTAACACCTAACCTAATGGACCAGCCCTTTTTTTTAAAAACGCGGTTGACTTGAGAGTACCGTAATTGGATCTGTCTTCCTCTCAGCTACATGCATGCCAACTAATAATCTCTCTCTCATTTGCTAAGCAATGCTATGGCACCGAATATTGTGTCTCTTTCCTAGCAGGTTCGCCACTACACGTATTGATATATAAAATGCAAAGCCAGGCATTTGAGATCTATATCACCTATATAAATACCCAGCTCCACACAACCATTTCTCACACCCAAATTCCCTTCTCTTTCCCTTTCCCAGAACATATATCTTCTTCTTGTTCCAAAAATGGCTTCTTTTTCTTCAAACCAATTCATTCTACAACTCTTCTTTGTAATCTCTCTCTTCCATGTCTCCTTTGCAACAAGAAAACTCACTGATTTGTTCCAAGAACCACAAACCCGGATCTTGGAATACCACAATGGCCCTCTTCTTTTCGGAAAAACTTCCATCAACCTCATCTGGTACGGCAAATTCAAGCCATCCCAAAGAGCAATCATCTCCGATTTCATCACCTCATTGTCATCTTCATCATCTCAAAGCCAACCCTCCGTCGCCACGTGGTGGAAGACCACTGAGAAATACTACCATCTCGCCAATGCCAAGAGACCTTTATCTCTGTATCTGGGTGAACAAATACTCGACGAAAGCTACTCGCTCGGAAAGTCACTCACACAGAAACAATTGGTACAGTTGGCTTCAAGGGGTGAACAAAAATACTCCATCAACGTTGTATTAACAGCATCTGATGTAACTGTTGATGGGTTTTGTATGAGCAGGTGTGGGACCCATGGGTCCTCCAGAAGTGCCCTTGTGAAGGGTAAGAATTACAGGTTTGCATACATCTGGATTGGCAACTCGGAGACACAGTGCCCTGGTTATTGTGCCTGGCCGTTTCATCAACCCATTTACGGACCACAGACTCCACCCCTAGGTGCACCTAATCATGATTTGGGTTCGGACGCAATGGTTACAAACTTGGCTATTCTCTTGGCTGGGACCGCCACGAACCCATTTGGAAACGGCTACTATCAAGGACCTGCGGATGCACCACTTGAGGCAGCCTCAGCATGTCCCGGAGTCTATGCTAATGGGGCCTACCCGGGCTACGCTGGGGATTTGTTGCTGGACCCTACAACTGGTGCTAGCTATAATGCACATGGTGCGAATGGGAGGAAGTACTTGCTTCCAGCTTTATATGATCCTTCAACTTCTTCATGTTCCACTTTGGTTTAAACAGATTGAGGTTCAGTGAAGATAAAATAGGGGCATTAGTAGGATGTACACCACGAAAATATATAGAAGAATTCATTAATTTGTTCATTTGTGTACCACTACAATACAAGATAGAACAATAAATTACTCTGGTTTGCTTCATTCCATGCTTACATCTTTTTGGGGAGCATAGTTTCTCTATTTCAAATTCAAAGTCTTTTTTTTCATGAATTTAAATAAAACCCACTATTCTTGAATGGGTCGTTACCATACCGGATAGATAATATATTATTGAATGAATTGAGTGAAAATTTAATGAAGTAGATCTAAATCCACCCAGCAGCACGATGGTTCATTAGTGCGCAATGCATGATTATGAAAGCCATCATAGGTAAAGTAGAATCCATCTTCCACTAGGAGATGGGAAATTGGAGATAGATTTGGTTACGATGTTCAAATTGATTGTGCAAATCAAGAGGAGTAAAAGACATTTGACATTGAAATTAGAGATATTAATGTACACGTAATTTTTAAGTACTTTTATTTAACTAGTTGATGGTGCATATGTACATTGCACGTGAACAATTTTAAGATCAAATTTGTATCGGTCAATTTTTGTAACAGATGAATAAGTAATTCAAAGAGGTTAAGANAACAATTTTAAGATCAAATTTGTATATTATAATTGCCGGTCAATTTTTGTAACAGATGACTAAGTAATTCAAAGAGGTTAACAAATTGATGTGACTGGTGTCAAAGAAAAAATCATAATGGAATTTGCAACCATTAAAAATAGAGACCTTGTTTAAGTGTCATCAAAAAAAAAAAAAAAAGGGTAAATGGGAAGACAATGGAAAAACCTAACTGCAATTATCCTTCTAATAGCTTGGAAAAAATAACGAGAAACCCATTCACTTTCCATATTGTGGCATTGCGTTTTTCATTGCTTATGATTGGAGGTGATATGTTTTGATCAAATTACATAAGAGAATTAGATATAAATAGCTTTATAAAATTTAATAAGGCTAAAATAGGAAAACAAAAATATTTTATTTTAAGTGATTTTTATAAATAGTATTAAAAAAATAATTATTTTAGAAAAAAATGCTTAGTTATTATCTAATATATAAATTTTAAAATTAGACATGTGAACGTCTTTATTAAGATATATGTGACTACAGTCTATATCTAGAGGAAAGCACAAATTTAATCACGGAAAAAGAAGGGTTAGCACTACAAGAAATTTGTCTTTTAGCCGTGAAAATTATTGCGGCTAAATGTATAAAAATTATCACTATATACTTTAGTGACAACTTTTTTATTACCACTGGACTGCGGCAATATGTGTGCGACTAAATCATTTAGTTATGACCTTTAATTGTTGCCACTAAAAGTAAATTTTTTAACTGTACCATGAAAAATGCCACTAAATGTGAAATCTTTAACCGTCATAATTATTGTAGCAAATTAAACGTGATTTTGCCACTAAAATGTATTGCATCACTACTAAAAGTCCGATTAACCCCTGACTTTTAGTTACAATAATTAATTGCGGCTAAAAGTATACATTTTACCTACTATTAAAATCACTACTAAAATTTGAAACATTTTGTTAGTGACAACGTATTGTTGTTACTAATTAATACATTAAAATGAACAAAGAAACCGATCGCATATTTGAAAGAATTTATTTTTCAATATTTTCAAATTTCACGTATATGTTACAGTTTAATGAATCAATATATATATCGAATGAAAAAACAAAAACATAATAAACTCTCACTTTCAAAGATATAATTCTCAAATCAAATCACGTGAAAATAATATTCTTATATTAACATCGTTAANATATATATATCGAATGAACAAACAAAAACATAATAAACTCTCACTTTCAAAGATATAATTCTCAAATCAAATCACGTGAAAATAATATTCTGATATTAACATCGTTAAATTGTACGCGTACAACGTGTCATCATCAAAGAATAGGAATAAACAAAAAAAGTTATGATCATGTTTTCAAATTGTCCTAGCAACCGGACAATGATATCCACTCAAAAAAAAAAAGTAATTGCATAACAATCAAGTCTCAACTACATATTCGTTTTTTGGCAAGTTATTAGATCTTTCGTCTTTAGTCATTGGAGGCGTGCCTTCCAAAGCTGTTTTCAGAGCTTTCACTGGTTTGTACCTAACATAAATTACCCAACATTAATAGAAATTCATTGAAGAAAATCAAGAGAAGACATGTTGGAAATGATTCAAATATATATCAAGACTATATAACTAGTTTACTCAATGTAAAGATATTATACCAGCTCAGTAGAAATTCTAATCTACTAGGCTGTTCCAGTGACAGAGGCAGAGAGCCCTATGAGATTATGGGCATATCAGTCTGCTTGAGCAAGTAAAATGTACAAATGCAAATAAGCATACAAGCCTGCTTGATCACAGACAAATGCAAATAGGCATCAAAGATTTGGAAAGATTACAATCTATCAATTTAGCATTACGTAAGAAGATATTTCAAGGAAATGGAGAAGGATAGGATAACTTACATAGACTTTCCACGATCTCCTGCCAGCCCAAGCACTCCTCTTCATACTAAACTTAGTTGTTAACCACAGTTCTATACGATTAGGCTCCTCTCCAGTCTCGGGATCACGCTATCATGCATTAAACATTAATAGAATTTTTTTTAATGATATATCAGCTTGGATATGCCATTGCTGTAAGGACATTCTGAGGGTAATGGTGAATGATATTAACTGCTACAATGTGACAGAGATATGCAAGTTTATTGAATGGTAAAGATTCCGAAAAAGTTATGCTCCTAAAAGACATTGAAATTGCTATGAACTAGATATGACCGCAAATTGTAAACTATTGTTAAGAAAGCCATGTAGCATAAATCTTTGTCATGGAATGCATATATAATTGGAAAAATGGACATCCAAAGATAACCCAACTGTTCAACACAGTCCAAATCGACAAGCAGCTTCATTCAGCTACATTATACAACACTTGGTTATATGTAGACCAGTCCTAACGGTTCACAATAACAGAATTTAAAGACCAGGTGTTAATAATTCGTTATAATCAGTGTCGAACAATGTTAAAGTCCTCATACCCANCAGTCCAAATCGACAAGCAGCTTCATTCAGCTACATTATACAACACTTGGTTATATATAGACCAGTCCTAATGGTTCACAATAACAGAATTTAAAGACCAGGTGTTAATAATTCGTTATAATCAGTGTCGAACAATGTTAAAGTCCTCATACCTAAAATTTAAAAGTCCTAAACAACAACAAAGTTTAAGTGTGCATTCCTTGAAGTCCACATATCCAAAATAACCAATAAGAGTAGCCCAGCCATTCGGGCTCACATCCGGTGGACAATTTTGAAGTCTAATCTCATCAATGGCATATTTGCAATAATAATTCTTATGCGGCCTGTGTCGATGGTCCCTATATTGCCGATTTAGCTGCTGGTATATAGCTTCCTCAATGCAAGGGTCTTCTTTGAGAGTGAACTTTTGCTGCACAATATTACATAAGAAAGTAAACAAATGTTATATCTCTAGTTTTCCCCCATCCTCTCTTCCCAGACTTCCATGACCCTGTTCAAAACAACACAAAACCATCATTTCATTCGTGATCAGAAAAGCATTTTGAGGCCTTCTTTCACTAAAAGCTAATATCCCATTAACAAAGCAGCAATACATCAAGTTAAGGGTCTAAGAAGAAGAAACAAACCAAAGGTAGAGTTAGATGTCTCAACCTGTCTAGGCTCAGAAGGTATCGACTTTGATGTAAACTGCTCTATCTGTGAGGCTTGCTCTATGCAACCTTCTTCTCGGTCACCTCTCCCTCGGATCCTACTAGTCATGTCTATAGTCTATCCTGCAATACTTTGAATTACACTGATTATGCAAGAAAAATGTTCTTAAAAAAAAGGATAAGCTTAACACAAAATAAATGAAATTAGAATCATCTAAATTTATCATTATTTAGGCAAGTCATTAAGCAATTCAAAGTCTTCATAGACATTAAGCAAGTCTTCACTGCACAAATGAATCCTACCATTGAGAACAACCAAACGAATGACACTTCAGATAAAGCAGAGGAGCATCTCAGAGAACCAATATGCACGAATACTCTGTACACAACATATCAATGTGCATTTCCCATGTAAAGTTAATAATATTTCACCATGTACAGGCCCTCAACAGACTTAGACTCAATATCTTCAAAATCAACACAAAAGCCTGATAGACTAAAGACATTGAATCTAGAATTTACCTCTTCAAACATTTGCAGTGGACCCCAGTGATCATCAATGCCAAACAAAAAAGCAAGCCGACTTTGTTGTTCCCTCAAGAATGCCCAATCCGGTGATTCTGAAAGCTATTACCACATAAGGATCATGGTAATTATAAGGTTAGAGATGTAATTTAGTTGTCTTTTTGTTGGACGTGTATAGTAGTACTTCAACTAAAAAAGGATGTTAAGACGGCTTTTTAGAAGCAGAGTTGACAATGGATGTGTAGCACTGAAATTTTAGGAACAATATACAGGATAGATATTGTCAAGTAATATCGTAAAGACATGCACAAATACTAATAGACAATCAATTGCATTAGCAAATAACTAACAAAATCCGTAACATTACTCAAGAAGATATAGAACCTGCTTCCACAGTCCCACCAAAGTAAAAACTGCACGACAAACTCTACTCCAGCAGTTCTAAATAATGATACCAGAGAAACTACATCAAGCTATTAGGCTCACTATCATCATCTGTGTATTATCTGCCAAACACGAATCAATGCTTGATGGAGAACAGAGAAGTACAACAGAGAGTAGAGAGAGAAGCTTACTAAGGCAATTCGTAAAACTCCATTACTCCACACATAAGCTGAAAATTGCAATCAAAGAAAATCAATTGCTGAATAGATTCATCTGCAATCACCGAGAGGTTGAGAGAGATAAGACTTCGTGTCCAAGCCGATGAGTTGTGCCCTAAACGATCAAAAATTGAAATCCAATTTCAAAAACTTAAATCGAAGATCAGAAACTGAAATTCAATTTCTAAAGCCTAGATCAAACCGACCAAAGATTTTGTGAGATCATCATTGATATTATATGTGCACAGAGCGAGAGCAGTATATGTGTGACCATCACTGATGCACTGAGCTCGTGTGCGGGCAAATTGCTTTGAGTTAATTGAGAAGGCATTTACGGTTTTTGGCAAAAACTGTGGGAGTGGTGGGAATCAGCCGCAGTAAAAAAAATATAGCGACTAAAAATAATTTTTTATCTATATCATTACTCATTAGTGATAAAAAATAATTGTTGTCACTAAATTATTTTTCCATCAAAAATTAGTGACAAATAATTAGCTTTTTTGCCATGACAATAAAACTGTCACTAACTAAATTTATTTTATTATATATAGTGACAATAACTATTTTTTTCACTAAAAAATTAACTTTAATTAGTGGCTAAATTTAAATGGTTGCCACTAAATATTTGGAATTAGTGATGTATTTTTGCAGCACCATTCAAATTGTCACAAATAAGATTCATTATTTATATCTTTAGTGACAACAATAATTTTTCACCGCTAATTTTATATCTTTAGTGGCAATAAATCATTATAGTAACTAAATAATTTGAATATCATATCTACAGTGACAATAATAATTTTTTGTCATTAAAAATATGTATTTAGTGACAATATTTTTAGTTGCAATTTAAATCTAGATGCTAAAAGTGTAATTTCTTGTAGCGTAGGCTCGTCTCTAATGATCAAATAATTTGAACATCCTCTAATTATCCTTGAATGGTGGGGATATCAGTTCACATCGGTAAATTCGATCAATTTTAAATTCTTTAAAATTGAAATCTGTCATTTTTATTTAAGATTTTTCAATATTGGTATATTCAGATATTCAAACACCCATTTCAAATTGGAATTTGTCACGTGGGCAGACAAGCAACCCAAATTTCTATAGTATCTTGATAATAGAGAGATATGC